CACAACCTACATGTAGGGGAGATTGGGGTGAGATGAACCATATCCTAGAAGTGAGGGAGATTGGTGCGAGATGAACCTGTTCTCTATGCAAGTCATGTGTTTGAAATGAACTGTAATGAAATGGGGTTAAACGTCCTACTGTTCTGCTCCGATCTGGGCTAATGATGTAGGGGATATGCCATACAGTGTGCTATGAGGGAAATTTTGCCCGGACAGCGGCACTACGACCTACTCTTATATCGAATTCCAACTGCCAAGGGATCTTTTACGTGCATACCAATGTGTACACAGGTTATTGGTTTTTTGTCCCATCCGAACGACTAGACAGCTCTCCTTGTCAGGCCCTCCGTCCTGCATCACTGACCGGGGAAACAATGCTAGAAAATCTGGATGAACTTTCTCGGCCAATGCAGGGATCAAACACCCGACCTCCAGGCTAGCGAGCTAGCGTCTTACCCACTTAGCTGCCGTGGCCTCCATGTCATGGGTTTGAATCCAGGTTTAGACTTACAAGCAGTAAGGTGCCTACCTTGTGGCTGTTTCTCTAAATATTCCCAATTCTAAAAGATTTTTATGCACAAAATTAAAAATATCCCATATGTTAGTCCTGACATGAAATATGAACTATTTGGTGTCAAGTGGATGTTAAACGTCTAGGTGGAACACGTTGAGGGATTGAAAGAAACACCACTGTCTGAGCAAAATTTCCCTCCTAACACACTGCAGGGTATGCCTGTCTTCATTACGCCATTCCAATTTCAGCAATCACTGTAAACCCCAAAAAGTGGCCGAATGGTTAGCACATGCGCACGCTCTATTATAAGGTCTGTCATCATTGAGTCAATGGGTGTGGTTTCGATTTCCCGGTCCAACCTCGTGGGTTTTCTGAAGGTCATCCGGTTTCCTCCCACTGCTAAAGACCCCTACGCGCAAGCGAATTATTGAAATAAAATTGAACTATGTGTTAGTCCTGAGATGACCTAGTTTGTGTCAGTGTAAGTTAAACCCCATCTCTCTCTCTCTCTACTCTCTCTCTCTCTCTCTCTCTTGTCTTCATTACCCCATTCCAATTTGAGCAATCCCTGTACTAATAAACCCCAAACAGTGGCTTAACCTACCCCGCTCTCCCCTAGTGTTGACTATAGGTCTATATACTACCATGTTCTACGTACAGTAGACTATAGAGATGTATGTAATAAAGGTAGGTGAGATTAAAAGTCAACATACAGGTACTTCAACATGATTGTTTATATAGTTATTTACATGTTTTAACAAGTACAGCAATTTAAAGCTGTATATACCTCTCTTACTCATGTGCGAATTTAAATAGAAACAAGGTTTAAAGTCTCTAACTCAATATCATCCAAAATCTTCGACATTGAAAACACAAATTATTTGTCAATTTAAATCAACATTGATGTTGTGATCTTAACCGAGAAAAGATGGGCTTCTGATATCCAATATTTAAGACAAAATAAAAATTTTTACCGTTGGTACACGAATCGTGTACAATAATGTGTTTCAGGCCCATTCTAACAAGGGACTCGAAGAACGAGGCTAGACATTCAACAAGTCATGTCAAACGGTGGCGGCATATTCATATCGGGAGACTATGCGCAATAAATACTATGTAGACTAGAATAACCAGACGCTAGAAATTTTCATTCGATTGAGACTTCAGACATATTTCGCCATAACTGATTTGAAATTAGAGTAAAAATGGAAACGATTGAATGTAAATATATTCCTATTACATAATTATATGCGTTACGACCCATTTGTGTCAATTTCTAGGTCCAAAATATTAGCGATTTAGCTCCTTTAACGAACGTCCTACTGTTCTAACCCAACTGGGCTAAGGATACTGGGTTTAATGTCCTACTCTTCTGCTCCGACTGGGCTAATGAAGACGGGGCCCATATAAGAATTTAAATGGAAATGAAATGAGGTTTAACGTCCTAATGTTCTAAGCTAATGAAGACAGGTGGAAACAGTGTGATATGAAGAAATTAAATGAAATGGGCTAATAAAAATGGGCATAAGCTATACAGTGTGCAATGAGGGACATTTTGCCCGGACAACGGCACTATGACCTACTCTTATATAGAATTCCAACTGCCAAAGGATCTTTTACGTACATGCCAATGTATACACAGGACCTCGGTTTTCCATACCATCCGACCGACTAGACAGCTATCCTTGTCAGGCCGTCCGTCCAGCATCACTGACAATGGGAACCACATCAGAAAATCTGGATTAACTTTCTCGGCCAATACAGGGATCGAACACCCTACTGCCAGGATAACGAGCCAGCATCTTACCCACTTAGCCACCGTGGCTCGCCAACTTTAAATAAAGTAAAAGCAGTGTATAATATACCCCTTAATGTCACTGTCCACTAATTTCTTGTTGTATTGGCGGTTCTTAGTTTCTCTCAAATAAATTCACTGGAAATAATGTTTGCGAAGATGACAGAAGCCGATATTCACATGTTAAAAATTTGACTTTTAAACAATTGAAAGAATTGAATGAATCAAATTGACTCTAGCCGTATAGACAGAAAGAGGTTGGACAGGCGACCCTACTCCTTGTCACGCTCTTGTCTTATATGATCAACAGTTTTCGTGATGTATCATTGGCTGTGTGTTCCTCCACCATTTTGGGGGTTGGATAGCCGAATGGTTAGCATGTGCGCGCGCTATATCATAAGGCCTGTCATTGAGTCAACTGGCGTGGTTTAGATTCACCAGTTGTACGTGACAAGGAGTAGGGTCGCCTGTCCAACCTCGTGGGTTTTCTCCGGGTCCTCCTGTTTCCTCCTACTGCTAAAGACCTCTACACACATGCAAATTATTGAAATAAAATTAAACTGTGTGTTAGTCCCGAAATGACCTAGTTTGTGTCGCGTGGTCGTTAAACCCCATTTCTCACTCTCCCCCCCCCCCCACCATTTTACACAAAAATAAATCTGGTGCTAATAGTTAGCAACACTTCATAAACTTTTACTTGTTATTCAAAAATCAAAAAAAAAAGGAATCTTTCGAAGTCCAAAGAGTCAGCCCTGGTGACCCTTTATTATTGGTAGTGCTTTGAAATAATTTCCAAATAAAGCTGGAAAAATTTGATTTTTTTGTGAAAATATTTTTAAATTGCTCCCCTTTCCCTATAACATATCTTTGAGTACATCTCCCCTGCCCTATACTTTTGATTATAAGCCATAAGCCCCTTTAAGTATATTAAAATAAAATATTAATTCAACCCTTGTCAATGAGAGGGTCGATTGAACTCCTTTAAGTACGGGATTAAATCAGATCACAGCACGTTTCCTATGTCTTGTCATGTAGTCATATCAGTGTATTTCTTGTCATAGGGTATATGAACTAATATATATACCTGTTAACACCAGAGATAATATACCTACTTTATAGTGTGGTATACCTGCACAGGTAGGAGTTCTTCTAATTCTCTCAAGTTTGTTGTTTGGGGAATTTTACCTATACTTTACTTATTTATTATAATGATTTACCTGGAAGAGTTGTTTTTTGCCAGGATGGGTTTATTTTAACTGATTACATAAATACTCCTCTTATCAGGTAACATATATGAACAGGTAAATCCTTTCTAACCCTTGAAAACCCTGACACCATAATTTATATGATCAACAATTACTGGTTTGTACACATATAACACGAAAGTCTTCTTTTATCGTTCTCGATCACAAACGATAACTCAGTACAAGGTAATTCATTAAAGTATAATTACCGATTCTATTAATTATATTTCACTATGTAACTTTAACAACTAAAATTTATATATTAATTTAACTTCTTTCATTTGATTTGTTACAATATATTTTTATACCTAATTTTATCTTTAATCTGATTTGTTGGAATGATTGTCCTTTTGTCTGTATGCAAATTAGTTTGTTTAAAAGACCCTCACACAGACAGGGGAGAACAGAAAACAGAAGATCAGTGAGCAAGGGTTAAGACATTTATTAGCCATTGATATGATCTTGTATATAATGTATATTTAACGTTATATAAAGGAATATTGAAATAGATTTCGACTTGGACTTTTAATGCACAGTGACCACCGTCACCAGAATACTTTTCCGGCAATGAGCTATATACACCCCAAATAGTAGCTCATTCATATGTATGAAATATTACATATGTATTGGTGCGTATTTAAACAAAGAATAGCCCCGAACATGTTGGTGATAAAAGGATTAAATATTTCAGCGAAGGTGTAAAATTGTTTGTTTTATTCTGGTTAGATGATGACTTTAATTCTTCAGATATATAAATACATGTATTTGTTTTCAGGTATTTGTGGATATCAACAGACCTTATTTTATTTACCTGTATTCATTGTTATATAAGATACCTGTTATATACTTAAAAGACTATATATACCTGTCTATAAATCTAGGTGCCAGTAGACTGGGTTTAATGAATATGTCAAATATATATAAAACACCTTTCGACTTTCGGGGAATGTAGCTCATCGACAAGTGTTCTCTATGTATATCGAAAATGAATACAGATTCTTGGAATGGATCTTCCAACAATTTATTTCAGGAGCAAATTTCCTGTAAATCGGACCTCCAACTAGTATATAGGTTCCCTAAACTGGTCTTTCCAACTAATGAATCATCTTACATACATTTGTCTTTTTATATCAATTAGTTACATATAATTATTGAAGGATTAAGGCATATAAAACAATAGTTAAAGAAACCTAACAGATCAACCACTTTAGTTGCCAGCCTGTCATAATTTGACTGACAGATTAATTGCTGTAGACATTGGTCATATAATAAAGGGCATTCCTTATTGATGAATCAATAGTCACATCAAGTTGTTTATCTTTTAGGAACTACTGCCAGAAAATTCACCTTCTTTTTGAGATTTTGATCTCATTAAGTCCATAGATATTTTGGAAAAACGGGGGAAGGACTGACTCATTAAATAATAAAATCTACTTGTATTTTATAGTGGTGAGAAGACTAAAAGCGTTATGTTTGAGACAGATAGCGTGGATGAGACATGTCGAGAGATAGAACGAGAGTCTGCGAGGATACAGTTGGAGATGGGTAAAGAAAGGCGAGCAAACTCTCCAACTCGTATCACAAATAAACCTGAGTATTCATCACCTTCACCTGTTAGAACATCAACAGTAAGTAAAGTCATTTTGAATCTAGAGATCAAACAGTCAGGGAGCTGAATTAGAAAGTTCTGTGTTAAATTCCTAGCATAGGCCTGCAGAAACTTTTAGGATTATTCGAGCTCTGCTTTAATGTCAGGAATCATGCTTGCAAAGCTGACAAAACAAATATGTCAAGTCATCAGATTCAACAATAAATGGAGGTTCACCTACTGCCCAGGCAAAATTCACCTCACTCCTCCCTAGCACAGGTGAACATGAAAATAAATAAATAAATAAATGAAATATAGTTTGATCAGACATCAGTACCAACCAAGTTATATTGCACCAAATAAAAATAATTAAAACTATTACTGTCTATATAGAAATAATTATATTTTATATTTCATCAGAGTTATTATAGTTATATTTTATAGTTACCATCATCAGATAGAGTTATTATAACATCATCAGAGTTATTATAATTATATTTTATAGATGCCACCATCAGAGTTATTATCAGTTGCAGAAGATGACGATGAGAAACAGGTCAGCTCCCATTTTTATAAATCAAATAAATAATATTTTCTTTAATTTGTTAAGATATTTTCAGAAAGATTTGTTTTTAACAGACCTGAGTTTAGTACTTGTAGAAGAGAATGTAATGTAACATTTTGTGAACCACTATATTTAGAAAAGTATTCTATTATAACAAATTAGACTGATCTTTAGCTTGCACAGACTATAACGTTGCTGAATGCTGGCAAGATGGAAATAATTTTCATATTAACAGGGATTTTGTTTTAAAAGTTTGCTAGTCTGAAAATTTTTGACGTAGATTTAGATTTATATTTTAAGGATAAGGATAAATGTTTGACATAGATTTAGATTTATGTTTTAAAGATTAAATTCTTGGATGACATGTAAATAGACTAACAGGAAATTGTGAAGTAGAAATAAATTTATGATCCTATTTTTAATCCAACCTCGTGGGTTTTCTCTGGATCCTCCTGTTCCCTCCTACAACTAAAGACCCCTACTCGCATGCGAATTATTGAAATAAAATTGAACCATATGTTGGTCCCGAAATGACCTAGTTTGTGTCGAGTGGACGTTAAACCCCATTTCTCTCTCTCTCCCTATTTTTAACCTGTTTGAATCTAAGTTGGGACGTTATCTACTGTTGATATTTTCATTTTCTTTCCCGTATTAAATGTTCAATAATGTATTTGAGTACATTTTACCGTCGATTCAGTCGTTAGAAATTAGATATTGTCCCATGAAGGCCAAATTGGGATAGGCAACATTTAAAATATGTTATGGATTCATGGCAAAGGAAACTAAAATATTTTAGGAGTGCAGGGTTTCCATTGACTAAGTTGATATTTTAAGGATCTGAGCTAATTAATATTTAGTTAAAGTTTCCAGGAATAAGATCATTTCGGCAAGGTTGTTACTACTATTGGTTTATTGTTTGATTAATTTCATGAAAACATATAATTATTTTTAACTTATCTAATTATTTTACTATCAGGCTATAGAGAGACAAGTTATTGTAACCTATGTATATTTTAGGCTACAGAGAGATAAGTTATTGTAATCTGTGTATATTTTAGGCTACAGAGAGAGAAGTTATTTAAATCTGTTTATATTTCAGGCTATAGAAAGAGGGGTATTGTAACCTATGTATATTTTACTATTAGGCTATAGAAAGAGAAGTTATTTTAATCTATGTATATTTCAGGCTATAGAAAGAGAAGTTAAATTATTAAGAGAAGCTCTACATTGTTCCAGGTTAGAATTACGAGAATGTCAGACTAACTTGAAAGAAACGAGAGAAAAGGCAGAAAATGCCAGGTAAACAGTTCACTTCTCTACTATCCAATGTACACTACAGTATAATATATACAGTTCATCTCTCTACCATCCCACGTACTCTACAGTATAATACGTACAGTTATCGTCCCAAGTACACTACAGTATGATACAGTTCATCTCTCTACCGTCCCACGTACACTACAGTATAATATATACAGTTCACCTCTCTACCATCCCACGTACACTACAGTATGATACGTACAGTTCATCTTTTATCATCTGACATGCAGTCCCTGTTCTTCTCACAGCTCCAACCTCGTGGGTTTTTTCTGCATCCTCCGGTTTCCTCCCACTGCTAATGACCCCTACGCACAAGCAAATTATTGAAATAAAATTAAACCATGTGTTAGTCCCGAAATGACCTACTCTGTGTCGAGTGGACATTAAACCCCATTTCTCTCTCTGTCTGTCTATTCTCACAGCACTACATATAATATATGGGTAATTCCAGCATGACAGAAAAGGTGACCATGTAACATGTCAAGCCCATTCTCTATATGATACTATAAGGATAGACGGGAATTTAAACATGGTATTTCCTAGCAAAGAAGATATAGTATCATATAAAATATGAAACTTATCTCCGTAACATTGGCATGGAATTAGCCATATACAGTTCATCTCTCTACTGTCCCACTGCCGATGAGTATGAGTGCCTGTAAGAATTCTTTATTACCTCAGGAAGGTGAAAACGATTAGTTTTCTGTAACTTTTACAATACTAGAGAAAACCAGTTCAAACATATATTAAGGACCCATCGCCAACATCATATTGGCATCCTGAAAGATACCTGAAAATTTAAGTCAGTTTCTTGGCATTTGAGGTCATTGCTGGGAGCCAATTGTTGTGAGCGGGAGGATGAGAAATTAGCTGTTGTAGAGTCTGTCGCCCCACGATCCACTCACAAGTGGTACTACTAACAGGGTGGTTCACTATAACCATAAATATGATAGTGATAAGATACTATAATATATGTAATATCCTGAACTTTTAATTTTTTTGATATTTTTCAGAACTCAGCTGATGTTAACTGAGTTCAAGAGACATAATGCTGATAAGGATTTAAATAGATTGACTGAAGAATTAGAAAAACAGAAGAATCAAAGTCAAACCTTTGATGATCAGCTTCAGGGAAAGTTAAAAGATGTCCAGGAATTCCGATCCCTAGGAATGACTGTACCTGAGGTATGTATTTTGTAAAAGATACTTTGACAGTTGGAATTGGATATAAGAGTAGGCCGTAGTGCTGCTGTCTGGGCAAAATTTACCTCATAGCACAATGTATGGCGTATACCCGTCTTCATTAGCCCAGTTCCGAGCAGAAGAGTAGGATGTTAAACTCCATTCATTTCATTTCTTACCGTGTTTCACAGGTAGGGAGTCACGATGGCTCAGTAAGTCAAGACGCTGGGCTCGCTGACGATGAGGTCTCGGGCTTGCTCCCGTTGTTGGCCAAGAAAGTTGCTCAAGATTTTTCTTCGCAATTTATACTTGTCAGTGGTGCGCGATAGAGAGCCTGGCAACATAGAGAGCCTGGCAAAAATAGTGTGTAGTTATTTGGATGGGACAAAAATACTGAGGTCCTGTATACACATTGGCGGGCAAATAAAAGAAACCTTGACACGGCCACATTTCCCTCATAGCACACCGTAATGTGTTTGCCTGTCCTCATTCAGCGGTGAGAAGTTCATTTAGTTGTCTGGCCTAGCTTGTAGAGTAATAAATGGGTCTGTTTGTAGGTCAAATAGTATAATCATTGTTCTCTTAATCTAGGAAATTTCACTTAAATTTGGCATTTCATAAGTGTTGAATTTCTTTTTCTGAGAAATGTCAACTAGAATATTATTATCTGTTTGTTTCTAACTGTGGGGGAGCTGCTTGGTGTTGTTTTGTTTCCTTCCTGTTTTATGTTTTAAATATGAAATTTCTAAACTTGTTTCCTTCATTCCGTTTTTTCCCTTAAATATTCAATTAGAATATTATTAATTATAACAATGGTTGTTGTAGGTTCTTGTAGGTTATAAATATGGTTGTTGTAGGTTATAAAGGTTGTTGTAGGTTATAAATATGGTTTTTGTGTGTTATAACAATGGCTGTTGTAGGTTATAAATATGGTTGTTGTAGGTTATAAATATGGTTGTTGTGTGTTATAACAATGGATGTTGTAGGTTATAAAGGTTGTTGTAGGTTATAAATATGGTTGTTGTAGGTTATAAAGGTTTAGGTTATAAATATGGTTGTTGTGTGTTATAACAATGGTTGTTTTGTTATAATATGGTTGTTGTAGGTTATAAATATGAAAGAAGATTATAGTAAACTGAAGATGAAGAGTCGTAATTATGAAACAGTTGAGTTGGAGAGAGATGAATTAGTTCGACAGTTAAATCTTGGTAAAGATGATTTATTTCACGAACAAAAACAAGCACGAATACAGAAAGAGGAACTACAGTTGGTACGTTAATAATAATACCACCTAGATATACATTTATATTTACCCAAAGAACCAAAGAATTGGAAAGTTTTAATGTACAACTTGAATAGAAAGTTCTGTACAAGTCATGTAGCTTCAAATTTGAAGTGTTTGTTCATTTAATCACTATGGAAACAGAAATTCAAGGAGATATTCTTTTCGTTCCTGTTACAGTGAACATTATAAAGCCTTGTGAATGAAATCAACAGATATTTGTGTCAAGCGGACCTTAAGCCCCATGTTTTTTTGGGGATTGATATTTTGGGATTAATTATTTAAATATGTTCTGATTTTAGGAGCTGGAGTCGATTACATCTCAATTAGAAGAAGTTCAGTCATGTCGAGATGAATTACAACAAACATTATCTCAATTACAATCTAATTATAGTAGATTAGAGATGGAGAAAAATGATATTTTACAGGTAAATTACAATCTGATATTCTACAGGTAAATTACAATCTGGTATTCTACAGGTAACTTAAGTCTGATATTCTACAGGTAAATTGCAATCTGATATTCTACAGGTAACTTAAATCAGATATTCTACAGGTAAATTACAATCTGATATTCTACAGGTAAATTACAATCTAATTATAGTAGATTGGAAATGGAGAAAAATGATATTTTACAGGTAAATTACAATTTAAAGCCAGTCCGAAGTCTGTCTCACACAAGAATGTGACTATTCTGCGTAATGTCTTGTGCCACCTAGCAAAAGTATTTGTGTAATGTGACCTGTATGGAGTAAAGTAATTTTATAATGTAATCATACCGTGTCATTTTTAACAAATATTCACAATTCTGCGCAAATCTGTAATACAGTGTTGTAAGATGTGTTACCGTAGAACTTGAAGCAGCAACTGACAGCCAAATAAACAATGCTAATCTTGCGTGGTGATCAGGAGCTTGGTCAGCCATATGCACAATGTAAAATGTATAGGCTATGGTAAATATGAACAATATTTTAATTGTAGAAAAAATCTCAAGAATTTGATGTATTGAATAACAGTAGACGATATTATGATAAAGAAATGGTTGATTTACAACAGGAAGTTCACGAGTCGAAAATAAAAATGGCTGATTTACAGGAGAGAAACAACGAAAAAGATGAACTGAATTTAAAACTAAAGTAAGATTATTTTTTATGATAACATTTATAAAATACTGGAGTGATCTTATACGAACATGCATTGTAAAAGAACTTTAGGCATTTGAAATTTAGTGCATTCTGTCTGCATTTCGGTCGTTGAGAGGTTCCAAAAAGGTGACGAAAAAAACTTACACTCAAAAGAAGAAAGAGTCCCTTAAACAGTACAAATAAGTTTGGATCTCAGTGATACAGCCGTGGAAGAACAGGAACCAGTCCTTGTAAATAATTCATGATAAAACTCCCTGGACAACAAACTAGACTGTGTGAAGATCAAAATTTTACTCCAGTACGTGTTGCTAGGGATGTGCCTTCCCTGTGAGGGGTATATATAGATAATTACAGAGCATCAGTGAATATACATGCTACTGGCACACTAACCAGCAGGTGCTTGGTTGAATCTCGATGTTTGCCATGGAAGTTATTCAGGATTTTTCAGAATGGGTAAAATTTTCCTCGTTTATACTTCTTTCATTTCATTATTGTTATAAAGATATAATATTTAATATATTTGATTTGTTTAACCAGAGACCAGAATATAGAATTACAACAATTATTAGCTAAAGAAGAAGAATCACGAGAAGTTATATTACAAGATCACAAACGATTGTTACTCAACTTTCGTAAAGAAACGGTAAGATTATCATATTATTATAGATTTTAAATGGTTTTACGTGTAAAAGCTATCAATTTAATTGTGTTTAAGGCTAAGTTTTTGTTTTAAATTCAGGGGTTGGATGGCCGAATAGTTAGCATGTGTGCACTGTATCCTAAGGTCTGTCATTGAGTCGATCAACTGGCGTGGTTTCGATTCCCCAGTTGTACGTGATAGGAGTAGGGTACGTCACGTCTGTCCAACCTCATGGGTTTTCTCCGGGTCCTCTGGTGTCCTCCCACTGCTAAAAAAAACCCTACACGCAAGCAAATTATTGAAATAAAATTAAACCATATGTTAGTCCCAAAATGACCTAATTTGTGTTGAGTGGAGGTTGAACCCTCTCTCTCTCTCTCTCTCTCTCTCTCTCTCTCTCTCTCTTTTAAATTCTAATTTTAAGTTGAGGATGTGTGATTTGCATTATTCGGAAAATATCAAAATTCTCAAGAACTAATTGATTATTTAAAATTTAATTAAGAAAAAAGAAAGAACAATACATAAACTTCCCTGTTGGATTCGATCGCACTATTATCAATTTAATTTCCGGCAAATAAAGATGTTGGCTGTCCTGTTGCGCTCAAGCACCATAGGTCGATGGAATTTCAATTTATCATAACTTTGTAAATATTGAATGAATTTGAATCATTTTTGAACTGAGAATACTATTAAAGTTTCACATTTCACTGCCAGCCGATCAAGTCCGACAATAAGCTAAAGAGCCGTCTTCGAAACATTGAGGGGTGTTGGATTGCCGAATGGTTGTCTGTCATTGAGTCAACTGGCGTGGTTTCGATTCCCCGGTTATACGTGACAAGGAGTAGGGTCGTCTTCCAACCTCATGGGTTTTCTCCGGATCCTCTGTTTTCCGCCCCCTGCTAAAGACCCCTACACGCAAGCGAATTATTGAAATAAAATTGAACCATATGTTAGTCCCGAAATGACCTAGTTTGTATTGAGTGGACGTTAGACCCCATTTCTCTCTCTCTCTAAACATTGATATGTTCGTTATTTGATAGATTGTCCCTTATTTTTCTACAGGATGCCGCCATGATGCAACTTCGAGAATCGTTATTTTTAGAGAAACAGACAGCGTTAGAGAATTTACGAGATGAGATAGAAAATGATCGTCGAGAATCTTTGAAGAGAAACGATGAGAAACTTGCTCAGATTTTAACAGAAAATGCTAAAATTATTTCTGTAAGTCAAGTTTTCAATATTTGTTTATTCTACAGATTATTCTAGAAATGTTTGCGTTAAGGGAAATTTGCGCTCATACTGGCTTTGTGATCCACGCGTCAAGTGATCTGTAACCTGCTTCAGCTGATTCAGACAGAATCTCATTTTTTTGTTCCAATTGATGTAAACAATTTTGCTTTTCTGTCCTGCATCAGTAACAATTAAACCCCATTCAACAGTTATTTAGATCAAGAGTGAGTTGGGTTGTCGAGTGGTCTAATGTATAAGCTTTGGATCATAAGGTCTGTCATTGAGTCAAACGTTTCGACCCGACGCTTGTTTGTGACCTTGTGTTTCATTTTCTAGTACTGCGTTTCCCTTCCACTGAACACTAATAGCTCCTGTGTGAAAATATGCTATTATAAAATGTAGCTTATGTATTAATTAAACCCTCCCTCTCTTCTCTTTTCCTCTGTTTGGATTTTGATAAGTCAAGTTGTTTTTTTATATGTAGAGTAAAAATGACGAGATTACACAGATACAAACATTGTTGAAAAATCTGGAAGAGGAAAGACGACAAATGGAACAGAAATTACAGGAAGAAATTCAACGACAGGTCAATATTTTAATTTAATTTTTAAGTAAGAGGAAAATCGAAGGCCAGTCCTTCCCTCAATTAATTTTCATATTGTCAGTAGTAAAATATGTGTTTTTTTTCTTTTATAGACAATATATTTATTGAATTTTATATTTGAATAGAAATTTTGGAACAGGTATAGCCTTTATTAAACCCCTTGTTGAAGAGTTTACAAGCTTAATAATTTCATTATACTTCTGTAGTTTTGAAAAGATGAAAATAACTGATTTGATTTACAGGTGACTCACACTGTGACTAAAATAACTGATTTGATTTACAGGTGACACAAGCTGTAACTAGAGAAAGAAATCTGTTAGAGACGGAGAAAGACTGGGCGATTAGACGAGAACGAGATAGTTTAATAACGGAGAATAATCGTAAAGTAGAGGAGATGTCAGCCATTTTACAACAAGAGAGGAATATGAAGGAAGATTTACAACAACAAATAAAAAATACACAAAAGGTAAGACGACTATCAATACATCTTTTATAATACACAAAAGGTAAGACGACTATCAATACAACTTTTATAATACACAAAAGGTAAGACGACTATCAATACAACTTTTATAATTCATTGAGAATCATGAAAAACTATTGGATTTCCACCTGTCTCATATAATAATAATACATGTCACAATACGATGGAATACACAATTACTGCTAATTACTGAGCGATGTTTCGAGGCTTCTCAAGTCATTATCAAGCAATGATGACTAGAAAAGCCTCGTCAAAACGTCGCTCAGTAACACTGTAACCCAGGTATCATTTAATCTTGTGTATCTAGCACTAATTTCTTTCACATTCGTTTAATATCAAATCTTTGTTTAAAAATTTGTAAAAATCATTTAAAATCCCCCAAAATCATCTAATTTATACTTGTTTCCAGTTAATTAAGGCTGACTGATTAATTTTGATAATGAGTGTCCAATTTACAAATATTTAATTTCCTGACCACTGTTCAAAAATTAATCATCATGCATCAATAATCAATTAGGTTGTTTATTTTTTAACAGTGATCGAGAAATTAAATTCTTGTAAATTGGACACTCATTATCAAAATTGAATGGTCAGCTTTAAGCTGGACACAAGTAAAATTAAATGAATTTCGGTGATTTTAAATGATTTTTACAAATTTTTAAACAAGGAATTGATATTAAATGAATGTGAAAGAAATTGGTGGTAAATACACAAGATTAAATGATACCCTGATTACAGTGTTATAAGGTAGTAATTGTGTATTCCATAGAATTGTCACCTGTATATTCCAGTTTAATTACTAAATGACATTGAAACAATTTACTGTATGACAGTTTAAAATGGTTTGTGTAGATTAGATATTGAGGTAAATAACAGATTAATTAATCACCCAGTACTGCTCCAGAAACTAAACAGTTATAAACTCAGTTATCTAATCTAGATAAAATACAACTAACTCATCATCATCATCATCTAGATGGACCATTTAAACTACACAATAGTAGAAACTCAATAGTCTTCTATGATTCTCAACGAATTTAAACATTTTTTTTTTTTTTTTTTTATTTTAAACTGTCCGGGCAAAATTCCCCTCATAGCACACTGTATGGCGTATGCCCGTCTTCATTAGCCCAGTATAGGAGCAGAACAGTAGGACGTTAAATCCCATTTCATTTCATTTCTGAGTCATACTGGCCATGTTGGCTAAACAGAAAGTCCAGGCCTCCAGGGTTCATCCCAGTATGTTCATTAGGATTTTTCAGCATTTTGTCAGTAAGATCAGATCCAATGAGTCTGGGGATGGGAATGTAGTGAGAGACTAGGGTTAGGGTTGTAAATATTAGCCAAATCTAAAGATGAACAGGCATGTCCTGGTCCAACACAGGTAAAAGATTTTACATAGATACAACCTAACATACAATTGTTTTTTTCTGTGTTTTACCAGTAGAATATATGCATTCTTTTCATTCTGTGTGATAGAGAGACAATTTGATTAATTCTCTGTAAAAAAAAAATGTCCCAATATAGTGGTAAATAGATTAACCCCAATATGCACCTTGTGTGCTTGTGTTTTACACGATGTTTAAGTGGTCATGTCCTGCCCTCTTTTTATACTTTATTAACTTGTTAATACTACAAGGGTTGCCTATTGTTACTTGATGGCTCCTTTCTACACAAAATATATCTATACCAATGATTAAAGATACCACATGTTCTTTTTATATTTCTATTGTTACCTTTGTGGCTCATGAGTTGCACTGAAGACCAAAGATTTGAGTTATACTGTTATGTGGTCCATAATTCTATTGTTACCCTTGTGACTCATGACTGAAGACCACAGATTTGAGAATTATAACAAGTGAAGTAGGATCATATAGTGAATTAGATATGTTTCTTTTCTTATATTATTATGTCCTATTGTTAGTATTTACTTGTATGAAAACACAGGATTCTATAGAAGATTAGTGGAATATAATAAATGAAATGTGATCATATAGTGAATTAGATTATGATTCTATTCATCTTGGTTGGTTAGATATCAATGGTCAGTTCTTAATAAAGAAACAGAATTTATTGTGTTTTGATTATATGGGATATTTCGAGGTTGATATGAGATCAATTTAAAACATAGATCGAGTGTAACAACATATCCAATCAAAACTTCTTTTATTAAAAATAATGTTATTCAAAGAAATATATTATAATTCACCTTATGGCCATAACAATTTTATATTTATTTTGACATTATAGTAATATGTATTTTTAACATTTTGTGATGAGGTTACATATAAACTTTTCAGTAGGCCGACATGCAGTTTAATTACCAATATTAGAATACTGGTCTCACAATCAAGATGTTCAGAATTTCATCAAAAAAAATAATCTAGATTTTCCACTTGGGAAGGGTAATGTCTGTGATTCTGTGTTGCTAGTTATTGATTTGAATGAAATGAAAAGTTGAGGCTTGGAGTTTACGGGGGTTGGATGGCCAAATGGTTAGCACATACATGCGCATTGTATCATGAGGTCTTCCATTGAGTCAACTGCCTGGTTGCGATTTCCCGGTTGTATGTGACAAGGAGTAGGGTTGCCAGTCCAACCTAGTTGGTTTTCTCTGGGTCCTCCGGGTTTTCCGGTTTCCTCCCACTGCTAATGACCTCTACGTGCAAGCAAATTATAGAAATAAAATTGAACCATATGTTAGTCCCGAAATGACCTAGTTTGTGTTGAGTGGAGTTAAACCCCATTTCCCTCACTCTCGCTTTCGCTTGGTGTTTACATACCTATTGCACACAAAAACCATCATATTGACACGTACATGAAGATTGAAAAATTACACAGATAACCTAACAATAAAAAAGACAATTTATCAGTCCAACAGACTTAAATATAATACATATAGTTTCAATTCTGTAGTCATATTCAAGTTCCATAATCCTTAGATGCAGAAGATGCACCTAGAACATGCTGAAAATCCTGTAGTTCACAAAGAATCTTTGAAAGTTTTTTTGGTGAAGCAATTTCGTTTACTACAGTAGGATCTGGAAGAGTTGTTATATAACAGGCGTTCTAATTGATGTGAGGGATTAGCCAATGAAACGGTCTGTTATGGCGAGTTGTTGGCTAGAGGTGCACGGAACTGTGGGTAAACCTCTAGAAACATCAACGCTGATTGGTTAATCAAATGTCTGATGTCATAGGCTCAAATGCAACTTGTATGACCTCTGACGTGGCCTTCCACTACAACAGGTCAGATCTTTATGTAGTAGAGACCATCAAAAGTATAAAAAAATGAAACGAACAGACTGATGGGGAAGCACCTTCGCCCCTACTCTTCATCCTCTCCTACTGGACTATCGTGGCTTGTGTCGATGCTGCCCACATTATAGCGTAGGAAAGGAATATATGTTACCAGATTATTTTATCATAATTCTACCCTGCAACATCTCTTACTGGACTAAAGTGGCTGGTGTCGACACTGCCAATATTATAGCTTAGTAAAGGAATATATGTAATCCAGATTATTTTGTCATAGGCCTACATAATTCTATAAGTGGTGTATATTGATTTTATAGCCCTCCATCCATCAATGTCAGGTAAAGTAAAGAGTTTGTGAGTAAGAAGGATGTACTAAAACATGTGATCAAATTAAATAATCTCAATAAATCAACAACTTATACTTGTAGTGGTATCTTTATAATCATAAACTCTTTACTTTAAAGGGGGGTTGGATGGCTGAATGGTTAGCGTGCGCGCGCAGTATCATAAAGCCTGTCATTGAGTTAACTGGCGTGGTTTCGAATCCCTGGTTGTACGTGACAAGGAGTAGGGTCGCCTGTCCAACCTCGTGGGTTTTCTCCGGGTCCTCCGGTTTCCTCCCACTGCTAAAGACCCCTACGCGCAAGCGAATTGTTGAAATAAAATTAAACCATATGTTAGTCCCGAAATGACCTAGTTTGTGTCGAGTGGACGTTAAACCCCATTTCTCCCTCTCCCTCTCTACTTTAAACAAACAAATATAAAACCATAACTCCTACAAGTTTAAAGTGAAATCTTTTAGTTTTTTATTTTTTATTTTCATTCTGGAGTCAACATAGGCCTAGCCTGTTCCCCAATCCATTTTCAAATGAAATAAAATATTGTTTACCAAAAAAAAATTATTTTTATTAAAAAAACAAGAATTAAATTTTTGTATATATCGTAGCCGGAGCTGCTGTGGCTCAGTAACCTAGAGGTCCTGGGTTTGATTTTATTTTTGGCAGAGAAAGTTGATCTTGACTTTCCACTGTCCTTTCCATGTAGATGGAGGAACAGCTTCTAGCTGTCTGGATGGTACGTACATCCCATGTTGACCTGTATATAAAGAACGATTGGCAAAATCTCTGTCATTGCATGCTGGATAGCATATTCCCGTCGTCATGGTTGCGCAGAAAAGTAGGACGTTAAACCCGATTTAATTCTTTGTTCTGTTTGCAAATTAAAATAATGGGACATGAGTTGACATAATTTTCATGTTGATTTCATGATCTACTCAACTGCTCCAAACAAATACATGTATTGAGAATCCCTTTAACACCATGAACTACTGATCAACTGCTCCAAACAAATATTGAGAATACCTTTAACCTTAAGATTATATATCTGTTAAAAAGATCTGGTTTTACTAGCTGTACATGTTCGTACATATTGTTGAGTTTTTTTATATTAATATTCTGTGTTGTTTAATGTAACAACATGAATCAGATACCTGATTACCTGTATATACCTGTATACCTGTATACAGGTGAATAAATATTCTACACATTAATTTATTGCACGAAAACCAAAGTCTAAATATATTCAACTCATATAATATATAGGTTCGTGATAAAAACAAAATGCTTCAATTATCCACTAATATTTATTTTAAAGATGCAGTATGTCTGATTTACGCAGAAAGAGAGAGGGGGGAGAGAGAGAGACACACACACACAAACCCAGGA